ACTCTTTGTTCATGTTTTTCGATGATTTCGTGCTTCATATCCAAGGACATCATCCCTTTCTTCTTCTCAGCACAGATCCTGGCACTACATTCTTCACGTTCTTAGGACCCATGGTTAAAACTAAGAAATTTTCAAAAATAAACAAAAGTGAAAACAAAGCAACAGCAATAAGACAGCGATGCTCGCACGAAAAGGTAACCACGTGAACTGAACGCTCGCTTGCTAGCTCGTAACTCAGACCTCGGGTCGCATCATAAAACAAAAACTCGACAGAGCGACGGCTCGCATCTCGGAAAACTCTCAAGTTGATTCACTCGTAAGTGAAGGTTTCACTGTATTTCGAAATCGACAAAGAAACGAATACAGGATGCTCGACTGATATAACGCTTTTCTCAAACCCAGCTGGTATTCCGATCGAGAAGGACGCGATAAATGCGATCCATTACCACGCAAGGCCCTTAATGCCCGTCTTCATATGGTGTTCCGCCAATGGCGGTCTGAACATCAATGAAAGGGCGAACCGCTGAATTATCTGCGCCTCGCGGAAGACACAGCCCTCATCTAGAATAACGTTCGAGAAATGAAGGAGATGCTGAAAGAGCTCAACGAAGGAATTAAAGAGGTGGCCCTTAAAATTAACGAACGCAAAGTGTGAGCATGCCCAAAGCCAATTTACAGGTAGGCAGCGTGAACTTCGAAGAAGTCAACAACTATGTCTACTGGGTCAAGAATTAAATATCCACCACGATCTCCAACCGGAGACTGTACGTCGAATGGCGAAAATTCTGTGCCATCATCGATGTCCTCAAAGTATCAGCCCAGAAAGACCGTGCTCACCTCTTCAACAGTGTAGTGTTGAAAACAATGACGTACGGATGGGAAATGTGCACACCGACGAAGGCAGGAGAAAATGTACTGGCTCTGAATTAGAGCGCAATGGAATGAAGGATGCTTAAAATATCTCTTCGTGATCGTATCGACAACAAGACTCTCCGCAAAATGAGTGGCATGCGAGAGATCGTGCGAACCATGAGAGAGAGTAAGATTAGTTGGGCAGGCTCGTGGCATGTATTGTTGACAACCAACATACCTGGCGCACTGCCGAATGGTATCCGAGAGAAAGAAAACTACTACCCAGGCGCCCTCCGTCGAGATGGCACATGTGTGGAGAAGAAATAACCAGAAGGAACTGGATGCAAACTGCCAAGGATAAAAGGGCCTGGCATGATTATGCTCGGCGTGTGGCAACATCGAAGAATCCATTCTCAAGTCAGAGCAATCATGACAAATGGTGCGCCGACAAAAAGGTGCAGACTGAACTAAAGAACAATAGTGTACAGTAACTGAGTACCTTCAACAAGATAACAACAACTTCATAAAAAGCAAGTGTAAATACTAACATTGTGAGTGATACTACGCAAGTTGTCGCCCAACGACATTGTTCAAAAATTTTGGAGTTAAAACATGCAAATGTCGATTTAAACGAATAT